TGACGTGAGATATTAAGAAAAATAAGAAGACATAATCAATCCAGTTTCCACGTCTGAAGAAACGCGGTACGCTAATGAACGCGGCTGCGTAAATCCATATGCAGATTAGACCCGTCTTGACTCCACGGACAGTAACCCATCGATCATACCGCATTGGCGAATTTACGGCGATCAACTGCGAAATAGCCAACCCCAATAGAGTCAGGAACGATATTGTTACAGTAGCCGTGAGAACTTCACCAGCAACATGGTAGACTTTRTAAGTAGAGTCGTTTATTCCCACGCGCAAATCATGAGCATAAACAGCGCCGAAAAACGGATACACAATCAGTCCAGAAATGAAGTCTGCAACTAAGACTCCAGTCATGAACATCGCTAGCGGATTCCTGAAGCATTTCAGAGGATCTTTATGGATGGCAAACAGTGTCATCCCGTTGAATACAAGAGTTGGAGCTGTTATCACGAACAGGAATACAGTAGAAAAGATAGTCACTCCAGTGTACAGATGAAAATTTGCAGCATCCTCGAACGACGCCTCGGTAGTGTTCGTCATTGGTGTAGTAATCGTGGAACTTGCCATTTTGCTGCTCAAACCAGCAAATTGATGAAAATCATGAAGAGAAATATTGATTACAGGTCAAAGATCGTAAGTAAATGTTTGTGTATGGTCATGAAATGGAACGTACTGTGATCTCACGCATGGGAGCATTAGGATCAYAACTCACGCAATAAGGGATCACAGATGTTAAATCAGAAATATGACCACAGTAGTTTTARCGGTACGGGGAACTCCTTGTGGGGAGTGAGCACAATTGAGAATAGGGAAGTCCTTCTTKAGAATCTAGAATCGAGTAAAATAATTTATTCATCATTGCGTGACATCACCTATTGTTCGCGATATAAAACTTCAGAGTATTAATATCCAGTGTTGCTGTACCGATCAAGTTAACCAAAATATGAGCGCAACAGCTATGGACTATGAACGGAAGAAGAATAAGAAAACACAAACAACAACAAACACAAACGTTAACATAAGTTCTTGCCTAAGGCAAGTTGTACAAAAGATAACTAACGACTTGAACTTTGTTTTCAAAACATTTTTTTTATGTAAATACTAGTCCTTATACAGTAATGCTTCACAAGCTATTTCAAATTTAATGTTGCTAATTGTAGATTGGCGTAAGCCGCACGTTTTAGAATGGTCCGGTTTTTCTTTTTTCTTTTCTAATATAATATAGCTTTCAGAAATGGTAGATACAATAAATAATTATGCTTGTGCCCTCCCTCCTCA